ATTTTGTCGCCTTTTCTCGTTTATAATTTTGTTTTTATAAATCCGATTTTTTTTTATACCTTCAGTTCTTTGGAAAAAAAAAAAAAAAAAAAAAAAAAAAAAAAAAACACATTGGATCTAGAGTTCAGACTCTTGAAAATATTGACAAGAAAAAATACTCTTGATTCAATCGGATTTTTGCTTAAACCAAAACGAAATCCGCTTAAATTAAGAGGCTTGGTTCTTGATTTAAGCTTACATCTGATTGAATCAAGAGTACTTTTTCTTGTCGATGTTTTTAAGAGTCTGCACTCTAGATCCAATGTGTTTTTTTTTTCCAGTGTTTAAAAAAATGCAAATTTTTGCCGCCCCTTAGATTTGCCGCCATGGGCCGCGGCCCATGTGGCCACCCCCTTAATCTTGCCCTGTAATTTGCACGCAAATTTTTTGTTGCTTCATCTTAAAATTTTGCAGTATTTTTTACACTTTGTTTCTGGTTTGGGAAATCGTATAGAAATAGGTGTATAAGTGAGAAAATGCACCGCCTAGTGACGTCATCTGGCGGCATTACCCATTTAAACGCGTGTATTTTAACAGGCTAGATCATCTTGTTTTATCTCCTCCAATAATTGTTCAATTTATGAATAGGGGTGTTCAAACGAATTCTTGCCGGAACACTGTCGACATCGTCTCTTATTGAAACTGGCGGCAGTACCGACAGTGGCCATGATATCGACAACAGCCGGCCTTATCGGAGTTTTGAGAGCTCGCACTCAATACATTGTTGCCCCGTGTGTCGGTTTATCAGATTGCCTGGCGCGGCGGCGCGTAAAATAGATGTACAATTGGCAACAGCTTATTTTCGCCAGCTCCGAAAACTCTGATCGCTATCGGTAAGAGCGCTCTTATCGTAACTTTTTCTTAACGGAACTGTTTCGGTGGCTTACCGACAACCGATTGAACAGCCCTATTTATGAACCGAGGGTATGCTCGTGTTCAGCTCGCTTGGTAGCGTCCGCCTAGACAAGGAATTCATCAAATTTCAGACACCTGCAAAATTCTCCATTTGCGAAAGGGAAATTCGGCAACATTGAAATGTAGTTACGTTCTTTTGTGAGGGAACCGACGCTGTGTTTAATGAATGACCGAGGAGCGTACCCGTTAGAAAGTGGAAACCTGTTGAAGCAAGAAGAAATTTCGTGCGGTGTCCAAGTTTGCATGTGCGGAGCTCATTAAGTGCCCGAGATCGTTTAAAGTTTATTGCTCTCGACGCTTTGTTTACGCTTTCAATAAGTAATGACGAGTTAATAAAGTCTAGTTAACGGAGCAAACGAGGAGAGGTAGGTGCCCGGCTCGGCTGACCCTCGCGGAACGGACCACCAAGGCGTTAGTAACGCCGCGTTACTTGATATCAGAAACCCAAGTGTGCGCGTGAGCCGGTGGTTTATGGAGCCATCGTTCCGTGAGTGGGGTCGTGAAATGTTATTTTGTCTAATTGAAGAGCCCGGACGGGCGCATTTCATCGCGGAATGCGGAGGTGTTTTACAACCGTATATATCATCCCGGAAAATCTACCCTTGAAGAGGCGGGGGTGAAACGGGCACGCGGGCGGCGGCGCTTGCAACCCTTCGCGTGGTTGCAAGGCTCGAGGAAAATCGGGTGAGGTCTGGAGGTTTTCACCGGGGTTGAGAAAATTTATTCGGAGTGCCGCGGTTGGAATCGCACGATGTTCTCGTTTGGTCGTGGTAATCTTTAATTTTGTTTTTCCGTGCAGAAATTGTGAGGCATTGTGACACATGTGCGTGAGGGATTTTCTTCGTAAAGCCGAGGAAAATTTATCAAATTTGAGTGTGTAAGGGAGGGTGATGGTGTGTGTGGGGGGGGGGGGGGATCACGCATTTTCTTTTTCATTTGTGTATGTACCATTGGCAGAATCATAAAAAAACTAAGGCTCATGGAAGGCTCTGTTTGGCATAGTCAGAGATATGTCGGAGAACGTATTATGTTGTGCCACGCATTTTTCTGGCAAAGCCAGGTGATAGAAGAATGTCCCTAACAAATCCGAAATTATGTTGATGCTGTCCCAGAAATTTAGAAAAAAAACCAAGGAATTCTGGCACACGTAGACAATCATTTTCTCGTAAAATTAGGAAAAAAGTCACATGGCAGGATTTTTTTTATTAAATAAATCAAATTAAACCATTGCAAATCGCAAAGATTCCCTCTCAGACTATTTTTTCTCGGCATCCGTCGGTAGAGAAAACAAACTGATACTTAAAATACTTGTTGCTAGAAAGATTCGTGTTGATACTAAATTCCAGTGAGCAACTAGACTAGAAAGGTGGCTGAACGTACCAAAATTGTATGACACGAATTCCATGCAGCAACTATTCGTGTCCCTGTGAAGTGTTTTTGCCTAACCGTCGTTTTGAAGGAAAATTTTCGCACCCAAGCTTCCTTTCTCTTAGCTAATATCAAAAGTCGCCGCGCGTGAGTGTATCACTCTAGCGACCCGTGGCAGACCCTTCTGAGAATCTGTCAATTCTCACCACCAGTAAGTTCTCAAATATGTGATCGGTATTTTTCTGCCCAAAATTTTAATTCGAGGAGGGCCTATTTTTGTAAGTTTTCATGGGGGAGTCCCCGAAATCTTCATCCTTAGAGGGTTATGGTCTTGCTAGCCAAGCTCCAATTATTTTGCTTAATGGCTCTCACCACGTTTTTCCTCTCTCCTACCCACTAACATTAAGTGAAAGATGTAAAATCATGCCATTTTCACCTGTAGTTTAATCCGTGAACTGAATCTGCTGCAAATTTAATTTCGGAAGGGCTTATTATTTCAATTAGTATGGGAGAAGCCCCCGGAATCCCTCACCCGGGGGATCGAGATTGTCCAAACCCGATTTATGCCCCAATTCCGCCTAATGGCCCCTCCCTCCCTTCGCATCCCCCGCCGCAACAACCCCATTCCTCAGATAGCCGTTGCAGGCGGCCTACGGAACTGTGCCGAACGGAAACGAGACACGCCTCAATCCACCCCGACCGCTCTGCCTTGCTAAGGAAGAACGCCGTATGAACCTTCAGGCGTTGCCAAATTTCCTTCGTCAAATCACGAGTTTTCAGGAAAACTTGTTAACATTTTTTCTCCAATTTTTAAGAGGATTTTGTTTGTAATTTTATCTAAAAAGGCTGAAAATTTCAAGGAGATTTTTGCATAATTTTCTTCAGAAATACATGTTTTATTCGGGGAAATTTGGCAACTCTCGAATTTTCATACGGCGTTCTTCCTTAGCACGGCAGCGCATCGGACCGGTCCGCGAAAACCGCGAATCGCGCCGGGTCTCGGACGGCACTTACGCGGTTCTGCGCTCGCAGCCGCGAAGTAGGCCCAATTTTCTAGGTCAGCCGCGGGATTTAATGACACTCGGCGTGCATCGGGCCATTAGCCCATTAGCCCTTTCACACCTACCCCGCGGCCCGGCCGGCCGGCGCGGAGCCACCCCGAGAGCCCGGGATCCGGCGGATCTCCCACCCTCCCCCGCCCCGCTCGTCTTCGTCTGGGTTATTGATCTGTCGCCGGGCGGGCCACCCCCGCCGCGTCCTGTCTCTCTCGCCCCTCCGCGCCGCCCGCAGGCTCCGTCCTCGTCTCTCTCCCCGTCATTCGTCCGCCGGCATCTCGGGGTGCATGTCCGTGTCCGCACGTCACGTCGTCATCTCAGGTGTCTTCGTGTCCGGCCGTGTTTAGTTTCGCGTCTTTTTCTCCCGTGATGGCACGTTTTCTGGCTCGTGTCGGGAGTCGGGTTGTTTTTTCTGGGGTTTTTCGGTGTCTCTAACGGTCGCGGTGAAACGACTGAGCTCGGGTTCGTCGCCGTCTCAGGTGTTGCTAGGTCCCGTTGAGGTTAGTTTCGCATCTTTTTAGTGGTGGCTTGAGTATTCGTTTGTGTCGAAGGTCAGGTTCGATTTTGAGGGGAATTTTCAATTTTTTCCCGGTCGTGGTAAAATTGGAAATTCGCGCACGGCTGTATTGATTACATGGTGTGTTTCGATGTGGATCATCGTGGATGGTAAATTTTGATAGGCTCAAACTGATGGAGGTAAAAGAAGAGTGGTGATTCCCAAAAGTTCTCAACGGATAGAGAAGAATGGTGGTTGCCACTTGTTAAAAGATGCGATTTTTCATAAAATTCGCGTGAATTTTTTAAAGTTGCGTTAAGTTTGGGTTTTTTTTTTCTTTTCGAACACGTGAAAGAAATCAATTTTAAAAAAAGACTCCAAAGATTGCTCCAATTTGAACCGTGCGTGAGTGTTGAACGTGAAAAATCTTGATTCAAAATTGCATATTTTAGGCGCATTTAAGTTGAATGCCTAGCTCTTGCAAATTTTCAGGATGCCGCTCCAAATTCTTCAAAATCGCTCAGGAAGTAATCATACAAGCCTATGCCTTAGCTCACTCGTGGTAATGTAGCATCAAATTAAAAGAAAGAAAGAAAGAAAAAAAATTGTCTTCAACACAGAAAGTCATGATGTGGATGAATTTTCAATTTTGGTGAACTCACTCAAGTTCATGTGGGATTTCGCGATTAGTTTCGGTGGTTCAAAAAACCAATTGGTTTTTTGAACGCTGAAAATGTATTAGTCAAAACAAGATATCCGGCAGAATTCAGCGCCAACTCAATTACGGAACGCTAGGAGGCCCCTTCCCCATGAGAAATTTTGACCGGGGACCGACCTCTCCCCCTTCCCCCCCATCCCTGGGAAAAAGTTCTGGTCATACGTCGCTATCCCTAGCTTTCCCCGTCCAATTATTTCCTCTGCTTCAAATCTCCTTCGTTTAATTGTCGACGCGTGATTTTAATCATTGATAAATTGTCATTTATAACTGCGCACCTCAATCGAAATTCCTTTTATTTTAGTGTTGATGTGATGAAACTCGTAGAACGATAAACTACATTCAGAAGAATAATGCGTGTTTTTTGAACAGTCCGCGCGTATCTGTCGCCTTGCAGTGTCCTGATATTCTAATGTTCGCGCGTGAATCCTGTTGAGATATTGCAGACGGTCGATATTTGCAGTCGGCCAAGAGTTTCTTCCCTAGAAAAAAAGACAAAAAATAATCATGGTGCTGCAAAAAATGATTCATAAAAAGCTGCAGAAAATCAAGAGCAAAAAGAGGTAAGCTCGCCTTTTAAACATTAAAGTTTTCTATTTTACACGCACTCTCAATCATTACACTAGTCTATCTCGGTAGTATTCACCCTCTGTCCATTGAGTATTTCTTTCATAATATTTAAAAAGTTGCATCGCTATTAAGTTGAAAAGTTTTGCTGCAGTTTTGGTTAGTAATTTCTCTAAAACATCATATCCATTGTTTTCCAGAATGTTTTTTTCTCAGTATTTGTTCAAAATTTAAATAATATTTTTCACTTAAACATTAATATAAATACTCTCAACATTGAATACCGCACAATACCCCAGCAAAAAATATTTTACCTGCAGGAAGGATCAGCAAAATGACCATGCAATACTCGATTAAAATACATCGTACCTGTAAAGGTTGGCATCGTTGTGACAATATCGGTTAAACACTCCATCTTAACTGGATTACATTTTGCAATGAGGAACCACTATCGCTGGCTCTTCCTTAAAAACACCTTCCTGCATAGGGAAACCAACGGCATATATGCTGTTTCTTAAATGAGTCAGAAATAGTGGCTCCTTATTGCAAAATGTGGTCCAACTGGAAGAGGGTTCCTTCGTACTATCGTCGTGGATAGATAAGGTCACTCGCCCCGTTTTTCGAAGCGCAATTTGTGCGTAAAAATCGCCATAAAAACGCAGCGTTTGAATATGATCATCGATCTTACTATTTTTTGCCTCCATCAAATCTACGCGACCGGTGCAACTGACCCATTTGTGCCTCTGTTCTCATAACGGATTCATGTTTTTTTTCTTTCTTCCGTGTATGATTTCTCCGCAAATCCAGTAGGTTAGAGTGGGCTTTGAGGAAAGGGGGGCTGGCCGGCGTGAAATAAAAGTAAAGTAGAGCAAATTTGTGATGCTGCGAAGAGATGCATCGAAGCAAGAAATTCCGCAGCGTCGCGGGATGGATGATGGCGTCATTATTTTCTCGCGGTTGAGATCATCTAAATCGACAACCCGCTCCTTCCTCTACTATTGATAACCACTATAACACGTCGAGAGAAGCACCAGACCGAAATGTTATAGTTAGGATATGTTATAGATTTCAGATTTCTCAGCCAGCTCCTTCTCCTTAAAATTCGCAGTTTCGTTTCAGAGCCTTGTTTAACTTGTGTCAAGGCAAGCCATCAGTTATTATTTAACTGATCATGGTTAGTTTGCAGAAAAATCTGAAAAAAAAAAAATTATTATAAACATGGTTTTGTCACACTCAGTACGCCTATTCTGACTGGCTTTTTCAGTGAGCTTATTCACCTCTTCTTCATCACCAAAGTTTAACGCGCTCCTCGACCCCCTCCTCCCCCTTTCTTAGAGCGTTACGTAATTTATGGATGGCCCTCAAGATACCAGTGAAGGGTCCAGGTGTCTACACGTCCGGAAATAGTACTGATTCTGTAAGGGCGGTGAGGAAATACTGTAAAAGTGCGGAAATTCCGCAAGCAGGCTCGGAATTTTTGTCATTTTTGTCGCAATTTGAGCGAGAAATTCAAATTTTTGAAATTTTTCGATTTTTGTCAAATGAGGATACTGATAAAGTACTGAATTTCCCTGTTCAGGAGGTACTGAATTTCTCTGTTCAGGAGGTACTGAATTTCTTGGGAATACACTGAAAAAAAAAATCTCGGTGTATTTACTAAGAAAAGGGTAAAATTACCACGAATTCAGGGTTCTATTTGATCCCAGTTTTTTCTTGGTAAAATTACCATTAATGGAATTGGTAATTGTACCGAGAAATCTCGGTAAAATGATTGGACTTTCTCGGTAATTTTACTGGACCTTGGTAAAAACGCCAATATTTTTTATCGGCTATGGTAGAATTACCGAGATAAAATGGCAAAGTTACCGGGAATTGATTACCAATAAAAGTGGTATTCTTACCTGAAAAATACAGTAAAAATACCGGTTTTTAGGTAAGCTTACTAGTCTGTCTTGGTAAAACTACCAATAATTGGTAAAAAAAGTGAGATGGTAAAGGTACCAACGGATCTTGGTAAAAACGCCGAGAATTTTTTTCAGTGTATACTGAAAAAGTACCGTAAAAGTACTGATTTTTGGCCTGCCTGTTTTAGTAGACATCCTGAGGGTCTCTTGTCTCTGGTCGCAACATGATGAAGTTCAAAATTCTAGGGCCGTGACTAGGGGAGGGGCCGTTGCGGTAGTTTTGGGTTTTGAGCATCACCTTCGGTCGTAAGGCGGAGCGCGGGCGCGGCACGGTGTGAGATCAGTGGGAATTGGAGCGCGCGGTCAGCAAGGCGTCAATCAGCTTTCCGTTGCCACGTCGGTGTAAAACAATGAGAATGGAGCGTCGATTCTGAATCCTGCTCATTCGATCATTGTCTCCAGCCTCAACGACGGCTCCATTGTGACATGAGCACTCGACGAGTGTTGCACAAGCGCCACGCCACGCCACGCTGCTCTCCGCTCTGACGTCACAACACCCGCACTGGAAAAAAACACATATCGACGGTGAAACTACCAAACCACGTATCTCGTTTGCGGTGTTTAAAAATCTACGCTCACATTTTATTTTTTTGAAGTAGACCAAATCAATATCATTCCTTGAAATTTTCGCGGAAGTTTCTCCGCACAAAGAGGAAAAATCACAGAAATTTTCAAGACTGGATGTTCAGTAGTTTTTCATTTAAAAAATAAAGTATGACAGGAAGTCTGCGACGTCGCAAACCGAGATACGTGGTTTGGTAGTTTCACCGTCGATATTGGATCTAGAGTCCAGACTCTTAAAAAGATCGACAAGAAAAAATACTCTTGATTCAATCAGATGTAAGCTTAAATCAAGAACCAAGCCTCTTAATTTGAGCGGATTTCCTTTTGATTTAAGCTTAAATCTGACTGAATCAAGAGTCCTTTTTCTTGTCAATGTTTTCAAGAGTCTGGACTCCAGACCCAATGTGTTTTTTTCTCCAGTGCGTGCTGCCGTGCTAAGGAAAAACGCTGTATGAACATTCGAGAGTTGCCAAATTTCCTTTGATAAAACGTTTATTTTTGTGGCAAGATAAGAAAATGTTTCCTTGAAATTTTCAGGAACTTTCGGTGAAATTGCGCATAAAATTATCCAAGAAAGTGGAAGGAAAATATTCTCAAATTTTCCCGACAATTCGTGTTTTACCAAAGAAAATTTGGCAACGCCTGAAGGTTCATACGGCGTTCTTCCTTAGCATGGAAGCGTTGCTGTCTACGCTGCTGTCCTGTCGAAGAGATCAGTATGTACGAAACAGGGTGACCAGCTTTTGAAAAGTCTGGGAAAACCTGGACAAATAAGGGGATTTTTCAACAAAACGTGGACATTTTCTCTGCAGGCCGAAACATTTAATTATTCATCTCAATCTGAAAAGACTGCGGGTTGATTGATTTTTGTGAAAAGCATTTTCATGAAAAATCACGACGAAAATCATTGAAAATCCATGGGAAAAGCGCGGTGTTCAGAAATCTTGAAAAGTGATGAAAAAGTTAGGGAGTTTTGTAATTCAAGAAAGCTTTGTCACCCTGCGGGTACGAAATTTCGAGGAAAAGACCTATTTAGGATTAGGACTAAGCGAAAAAAGATGTACAAAGTAATTTTCCCTTTTTATTAAATTATTAGTAGGTTAGACTTCTTAAAATCTCAAAGATGACTAAGAACGGTCGATAAAGTTTACCTTTCATTACGAAAGTTTTCGATGCAAAAATGATGGATACAACGAAATAAAAATCACTAGCTTTAAATGGATTAAAATGAATGAAAAATCGAGAGAGAGTGAAAATAAGGGTTCGTCTGCACTCTATTCTGGCTTCGTATTGTAAACAATAAATAAGACGTTCCTAGACACCGCTCGGCGTAGACGTGACGTCATGCAGTTTAATTTAAAAAGTTTCCCCTCTAAAGCAGACCGCAATGAACAAGAGAGTTTAATCATGAATCGGTGTAGGAAAACCTCATATTTTGCCGAAATACTTGCTGTATTCTAGAAAATTTTCCATTTTTTCAGAAAATCTTCACATAGCCCTAATTCGTTGCGCTTCATGTTTACTTTGTACTCAGCATTTAGTTTCAATGGCGAAATGAAGATCGCATCTCATCCGTCGCATTCTCAAAGTTGGGTGACTAATTCAATGAACTCTGGTTGGATCATGCTTTATCGAACTGTTAAACTTTAGTTAAAAGTTTTCTCAGTGTATGCCAAGTGGTCAGAGATTTTATTAATTTGTTCCAGACTTCCAGAAGTTGATTTGTCGACCTCCCGGACCCTTTCATTAAAAAGAAATATAATAAAATAATTTATCCCTGCACCTTGTGTACGCGGCTCAGGCAACCAAACTTACTTCACAGAGAAGCTGGTTGCGTCGAGCAAACTGAAGGGGATCTTGTAACTGGCAGTAATTCTCCTTAATTTTGCTGTAGTTTTGAGGCGTACAGGCTAAGAAACATATTGATCTTAAATGATATCTGACATTTTGAGGTTTGAAATGGAAAACACCAGTTGAGATTTTGGAAGTTTTTCATGTATTTTTTTTTTTTTTTTTCCAAATGCATGATCTGGTGCTAAGATCTTATAGTCTTGGCGGGATTTTACCCTTTTTTGGGTTTTTGGTGGTTTTAAATAGACATAATTAAATAATCTACGTATCACGCCACTTATCACATATAAAAAGGGGATTCCGCGCAGTATCGACGAAATTGGTGTGAAAATCGTGTATTTCACGTTGAAGGACTCGCTTAAAGACAAAAATACATCGATGCCCGCGAAAATTATTGGTATCGGTTCGAAAAATCTTCAGGCGTAACTTGAAACGAAAAACGATCTTAAAGAGACGGAGAGCTTAATTTTAGGTATGAACGCCATTATGAAAATTAAAACATGGAATTAATAAGTGAGATTATACCGGAACCTTTTGAGAAGATGGAAGGGAAGCGCTTGAGAAAAATTGTTCTTTCGACAGGTAGCAGGTGTTCTCTTAAACCTTCGCGACGTGTTCAGAAGCATTTCTTCTCGATTAATTTCCCATTTCCCGCGGCGCAAGCTGGAGAAGATGGGAGGAAAATGAGGGATCTGGAGGTCCAGTGGGAGAGAAAAAGACTTTGCTGCGAACATTTGCGTCCGGATTTCAAACGAGGCTAGGGATTTTACCACGCGATGTGAAAGCTCGAATCCTCTCCTCCCTCGATCAATCTTAGAACAGGTTGTTTCCAGACCTCTGGAAAAAATTTGCCGGCATGTTTGGGGTTTTCCTGGCTGAAATGACGAAAAGCTCTTTACTTTTTGGATCGTTAATGCATGAAGTGTGCATGAAAAAGAACAATGCCTCACGGGAAAGTGGCATGGTTCTCTTCAAAATTCGAATCTTCAAGATCCTAGAAAACGATCCAGAAAACAGAAAGTTCGGAATTCCATTCCGTCGCGTAATACCTAATTTACCAGGATCTTGATTACACAGATTGGATTTAAATTGGAGTGAACAAATGACGCCGTTTGTACCTTTTTTCATTTCTGAAATTCATGGAAAAATCAAGGAATTCTTGCCAAAAACTATCGGATAATTGGGAAACATTTTGCACTTTGGTCACGAAAATCTTTGAATTTTTGATTCATTTGAGAGGTAATAGACGTCCGATATACAGGGCGATCCAAAAGTCTCGCACCACCCCCTTAACCCTGAGGGTTCTTGCCTATTTTCAGAGTGGCTCCCTTAAAATTTTGGGGAGTCTCAAAAGTTGATTTATAAGCACTCGCAGGATGTCAAAGCTCTATCTCGAGTTGTTCATCAAAAGTTACAGGGGTCATCTCTCGAACTGGTGCACAGTGGATCCAGTTAATTAGCGAGGTTGGATATGAAATTTTCGACTAAAACTGCAAATTTTGGTATTTATGTCGTCACATTTTCATTTCAAGGGATGTTTCAGGTAGGAAATTTTACGAGAAAACCAATGGAATCACTTTTAAGACCTTAAAGTTCTGTATGGACGGAATTATGAGCTTTCAAAGTTTCCAAATGTTGTCCGATCTTCCCCATTGACTCGATCCACCGTGTGGCAGTACGGGACTTTTGGATCACCCCGTGTAAGTTTAAGGACAAACGGGGTGAAAGATGAAAAATACGAAAAAACTAACTCCTACCATATTGTCTTTTGATTTAAAATGTTTTACTTTGAGGTGTGAGCTAATAACTGATGGATGTGGTGGTTTTTTTCTGTTTCAGAGGTCACCCTGGCACCGTCTCTAATGGGCTTGGATTGGTCAGCGGAGGCGGCGGAGGTGGCGGTGTGCCGAGCCGGGGCTCGCGGAGCGACTGCGAGGCCATGATGATGGTGGCCGACCTCTCATCGGCGACCTCCCCCGAATTCAACAATAACCAAGTTTCGCCCACCCCCGCCCCCCTCCCGCCGGAGGAACTAGCACTACTCGCCAAGCTGGAGGAAGCAAATAGGTGAGCACAAAATCTCTCCCTCTTTACACCGTTTTTATAAAGGTCAGTTTTACCCCAGTTGAGCCCAGTGCAGACGCTGCCAAATGGGTTTAACTTTCGCAGAGATAGTTCGATGGACCAGATTTAACTCAGAATCAGTGAAAGAAGTTTAGATGACTTCGCGCCTTTCGACGGACCACGATGAAAAAGCCGATCTCATAGACTGCGCCATTCGTATTCTACAAATGTTGAAAGGAGTGTATGTGGCCAAACGGGTGTATCAGTGATTCAGGAACTTTATCATTTACTTACTTACCTCCAGCTAAAACCCCTGACAAGACCTCACCTCAGACAGCATGTCAGATTTTGAACCTCCCGTTGAGCAAAGCCAGCGCAGAGCGCCCATGATGGACCATATCAGGACCAAACAAGAGGTTTTAAGGCGCACAAATTTCCCAGCCTCCAGGACTTTATGTCCACCTACCTTTCGTCCATTAAATAAATGTCCACCGCTATTTATGACCACTAAACGTTCAGTCCAGTCTTTATTAAGTCCACATGATTTAATGTCCAACCATGAATATGTCCAAAATTGTCCAAATTGTGGACATGTTATGTCCACATTTTTTTCTCCTCATTTGAATGACAGGAACCACCTCAAAAATAAATGCATACTACTACTATTTCATTCTTAAAAACATTTCATTCATGAATCAAGTCATGAAAAAGAATACACTCCAAGAGCAGATAAAAACATATGTTCATGTGTACACTGTACGGATATGATAAGATGAAAACCAAAGCGAGAGCCTATAGGAAACGCTCCAATGCCAAATTAAATATTTTTCAGTTACAGATGCAGTCAAAATTGAAAGTCCTCTGTAACTAGTTATTTCGTGCGCCTTCAATCTTGTAGGATACTGTGCAACGCTTCTGACGCGAAATAGTCGCTTAAAGCGTTGCGGCGCGGCAGGCAACCAGCGTGACCCGCGCACAGGCGCCTACAAACCTAACGGGATACTTCACGCGTTGCGCAATGCGTGAAGTATCCCGTTAGGTTTGTAGGCGCCATAGCGCGTTCTGCGCTGCTAACACGCCGCTCCACTCTGTGTTAGGCTCTAATACTTAAACTCGCGGAGTCAGCGTTTTTCAACTCATAATTTTGAAATGTTTGAAAACTCTGCATGAATTATTCTTATTTAAATTGATGAAAAAGAAGTATGTACTACTGGAAAATATAATGTGTTTTTTGTAAATATAATAGTGGTTACGTATCAAATTTCATGATTTCCAAAGCATTCAAATTTATTCTTTTATGTTTTGGGCTTTTACTGTGCTGCAGCGTGGTGTAAGCGCAACCAAACGCTCAAAATTGGATGTATTTGACTCAAAGAGGCCGATGTACAAATAAGTTAAGAAACAAAAAATTGCGTGCTTCTTAGTTTTTTTCCTCTTTTATTAATTTTTTTATAGTTTCTTTCATCACAACCACGGCTCATTGAGATTCATATCGATGCCATTGCTTGGGAAAGGTTTTACAAATATTTACCACGTTTTAAAAATGTAAATGTTTTTAAAATGAAGTAATCAATTTCATTAAAAAAAAAGAATGTACATATAAGGCATATTTTATATCGGAAATTTCAAGGATAGAAATGAAACCAAGTATTTACCAAAGACAATTTGAAAAGATGAATCAAAAGAAGAAATTAACGTTTCATTTAAAATATGAGTTATGATGACAACACCTCATTCTCTCTTAATTTTCTCATTTAGATATCGTCAATATAATTTTACACACGGACTAAAATATGACACTTGAATTTGATTTTAGTGGACTTTACATTTGTGGACTTAACTTAGTGGACGTTTAAGTAATGGACTTAACAATAGTGTGGGCTTTAGAACTGTGGACGAAAAGTCTGTGGACGTAAAAGAAGTGGACATAAAGTCCGTGTACCGTAAATCGAAGCACCCTCATCCTCTCCTGAATTTTCATTTGCTGTTATCCCTGTAACTCAACAGATTGGTGTCAAAGTCTGGATTCGTGTATATGCTGAAAATATGTACATGTGTGGTAAAAAGAAGAACAATGAAACAATGATAATGTTTGTACAAAAAAAGCTTACGCTGCGAGTTCTGCTAATTTTGTCAAATCTCGTTATTGCTCTTTACACTCCCACTTATTGATGTACTCAAAAGGTACTTTTTCATTAGAGGACCATATAAATATGGCTCCCTGTGCCAAATCCGAATAAATCTGAAGAATTTTACTTCGAGATATTGATATTCCCTCACATTTTCCAGGTTTCTTTTAGAATGGACGTAGTTTTCAAGTAATGTACATGTTTTCCACTCCAGGACCTGGAAAAGCTTAAAAATTATAATTATGATCAATTACGCTTTCATATTGTTTCGATACTAAATATTCGCCACCCGCAAATCTGAAGCAATCCTGACAAATATAGCTTGTGAAACCACTGTCTTCTTTACGAAATAATGTTGCAGCTTGCACCCAATTCGGAAGCAAACTTTTTTTTTTTTTTTTTTTTTTTTTTNTTTTTTTTTTTTTTTTTTTTTTTTTTTTTTTTTTTTTTTTTTTTTTTAACCCTCTCCTCTGTTTGTTTCAGACTTATCGAGTCCGACTCGAAATCCCTGCATTCCTTTTCGAACAACAGCGGTCATTCCAGGAAAAGCTCAGACACCTCACAAATATCCCTCACATCCGGTAAGAACCAGTGATTACCTAAACTTAAATCTTTTACACTTTCGAACACAGGTATGAGCGCAATGAAGTTTCGTGGGCAAGGCATGTATTTGTTCGTCATCGAAGACTTACAAAGAGGAACCTCTCGGATCCTTTTCTTCATCCATCAACTAAAAAACCTCAACATTTCGTGATCAATGTGAGTTACCGCCTGAGAGAAGGGTCCTCAGGTAATGGAGATGTTGCATGTGTGAGGAATTTGCGATTTGACTGTTGATTTGAATGTAAAAGTTCGCGAGAAACACGATGGTGCCACTGGTTTTCTCTGAAATCAACTCCCAAGCTCCAAAAAAGCTCTCAAGTTGAACCAAAATGGAGGGGATATCCCACGCTATCCTGAGAGTCCACCTCCACATCAAGACAAACTCTCCATGCAGAGATAGGGAGCAAATACATTGACAGGGCTGCCACTTTATTTGGGGACTCTAAAACTGGAAACACGGCATCACTGCTAATGTATTTGCTCCCTATCTTTGCATGGAGAGTTTGTCTTGATGTAGAGGTGGACTCTCAGGATAGCGTGGGATATCCCCTCCATTTTGGCCTCAACTTGAGAGCTTTTTTTGAGCTTGGGAGTTGATTTCAGGGAAAACCAGTGGCACCATCGTGTTTCTCGCGAACTTTTACATTCAAATCAACAGTCAAATCGCAAATTCCTCACACATGCATCATCTCCATTCTATCTCCAACATCTCCATGTTTGTGCAGTGCCAAGAAGGACTCATAACCCATAAAAGGTAATTTTCAATATGCAAGTGATTGATTATCACTATTTTCTTACCTCTTTAAATAATTTTCCCCGAAAAATTTTGGTAGAAAAAAATTCGATAAAAAAATTACATTTGATCCTGGGGTCTCCGAGGTTGTTTGCGTGCTTAAAAACGGTCTCAGTTACCAACATAATTCAGGAGCAATATTTTCTCATTGCAGCATTCATAAAGCTGTATTGCTCTCGTGCGCTTGAGATGGAGGGGGAAGTCTTTCACTTAACGTTGCTGACAATGAGTTGAACCTGAAGTGAATACCCCCGGATGCCGGGCTGAACAAATTAACGTCAGCTTTCATTGCATTTGGCACATATTCTGAGTAGGCAGCTCATTTGCATGTCGTTTGTTCCGATCACGCCCCCCTCCTCCCCCCTGGGGTTCCTGTACTCCCCTCTGGGTGCCCCCTCTTCCGAGCGGCTCGTTTGTCGTACCTATGCGTCACTTGGAACCCAATCACTCGGTGTAAGTGAGTGCGTCAACTCGTTAGCCAGATGCTCACCACTGCCGTGCTAAGGACAAACGTCGTATGAACCTTCAGTCGTTGCCNCAGCGTATGAAGCGAATTGATTGGTGCTTCAGTACAATAAATTAGTTCTGAAGCCTAATTTTGATTCTACTTGGCGAGAACCAACCAAATTAGTTCTCAACGCTAACTACTTTTTTTTCAGTGAACATTTGCCTCAAAAATACACATTTTATCGTAGGAAATTTGGCAACCCTTGAATGTTCATACGGCGTTCTTCCCTAGCACAGCAGAACAGTAGTTGACATTTAAACGAGAATGGATACCTTGAATTCTGCAACTTCCAAGGTCGGCGGTCTCATTGTTGGAGGCTTTGCTCGTTTATCTTATAATTAAGAATCTTTCAAACTAAATCCATCGTTGTCCGAGCATAGTTAAAGAAACAGATGGTAAAATAGGCAGGGCGTTCACAAGTCCAATAATAACTGTAGGAATGTTATTTTTGATTTTGGTCTTACACTTTACCGAGAAATCTTTACATATAGCCTAAATTTCGTACTTACACATTTCCGTACGGTGTTAAGTCATGAGATTTGACAAATGACCCTACCATGTGTTGTCATTTCTATTCTAATGGCTCTAGATTTCCTCCCTATTTTTTCTGGAACTAAGCGTTCATTCCCGCATTGAAAGAGAATAAACAATGAATTATCACATAATTGCAGTTTCCTAAAGGATCAAGATAAAAAGGGAAAGAAAAAATGGATTTCGTGGTTTTTGTTTTAATTTTTTTGTTACGAGACCATATTAATTTTAAAAAAAGAGTCGTACTAATAATGTTCATAATTCCCATCATATCTTCTTTTTATGAATTATGCAGTAACCTAAAACCTTGTTTGAATATACTTTAACATGAAGGAACTAAGTTTTGGAGGGAAAGCAGTTTCTGTTGATATGTGTATATTTATCGTATAATGCATAAAAATAGATTTGAGCGGTAGCACAATGTATGTGACCATGACCATGACCATCTTCCCACTCCCACTCGTTAAAATCTCCGCAAAACGAGTGATAAACTGAAACGCCTTCAAATATTGGGTAGGCAAAAGGTCGCACTGTGAAGTTCGAATAGTTATCTAGCCACCTCAATCGCCCAATCTTCACTTATGTTGTGAGACACAGGATATTGCGGTTTCCTTTTCACATATTTATGTGACCGTTTTCGGATTATAGGGCTGTGGTGTCCTCTTAGGCAATCTGTCATCCGCCATTCGTTGAACATGACTAAACCCGACAAGCGGAGATTCTTAAACACCGCCAATGAGATACGTGGTCTAGTAACATGGCAACGTCTGAAGGCTCATATGGCGTTCTACCTAGCACGGCAGCATAAGAGCATGTGCTAACCGTGGCTCATACAGAAATGATCCTCTCATCATACTCTCTTCCGTAACACGGGAGTTTTCCAGTCATTTTGGGTGTACTCGGTGCTCCTGTTTTGCATGCTACGGAAGCGAGCGAGCGAGCGGTGGTTGCGTCTGCAGCGGCGCACTGTGGACCAAGTCAATAGGGGAGGTCGGACCTAACTTTTTTTTATTAAAACTGCAAATTTGTATGTTTATTTCGTCATATTTTAAACTCTAAGGGGTGCTCCTTGAAGAAAATTTCACGAGGAAACCAATGGGACCATTTTTAAAACGTGAAAGTCTTATATAAATGGTGTTATAAGCGTTTAAAATTTCCAAATTTTGTTCGACTTCTCCTATGGACTCGATTCACTGTGCGGCGTGCGCTTGTGTGCGTGCTCGCGTGTGTCCCGTGTGCTCGCACCGCACCGTTGGCCCAACTGCGACGGTGTCAGTCTTACCGGTGCGAAGACAGTCCCACCACGGGCGACCACCGCTATGTTACCGTGCTGAGGAAAAACACCGTATGAACATCAGAATGTTTCCAAATCTCCTCTCGGAAAATATCTATTTTCGAAGGAAGTTATCAATACTTGTCCCTGAAAGAGGTTGTTCCATCTACCATTGAAACTGGGCCCAGAACGAAATCTCCTCATCTTTTCAGGTATCAAAGGGCATGGTCAGGGACACCCAAAAATGGTTGAATTTTTTCCAAATTCCCCCCTGGGAAGGGGGGGCGGGGGGTTATATGAAAAACGGTTTTTTGGCTATAACTTTTGAACGGTTTGAGATATCGATTTGAACTTTTTTTTAAATGAAAGGTCGTTTAAAGAGCTTTCTTTTGGTATATTATGTTTAATAGTTAGATCAATTTTTGACCAATTTATGGCCTGTCAAAAATTTTCCATGAGTACAAAAATCAGATTTCTGTAGTTTAGAGCAGCGACGATCGCATGCAGATGAACAAAAAACTGTTCAACTTATAGCCCTTTCTCTGACGGTTAAAATGAGCCCAAGATCATCTTGGGGAAACGATTTGTCTCCGAGTTATGCTTCTTCAAAGTTGGCGCGGCGGGGTCCGCTTCCGCGGGGCAGCGCTCCGGAGTACGATAGTTCACTCCCACCCCCCTCCCGTCATGCCACGCGACGCAAACCGAGGAAGACTACCTTTAATGATCATTTGTACAGATAAATGCACACAATATACGCTATTATGTTGTACAAGTATTATTAAAATTATATTAATATAATAAATAGAAGAGTGGAATCTCACCGAATTTATCATCACCGCAATCCATAGGATCATCGGCAGTGTGATCCGCATTTTCATCCTCATCTTCGTCGTCTGAAAAGCCAAAATCGACTTTTCTGAGAGGGAAGCACTCGTTCAAAAAGGCTGAAGGCGCTGGTTTTTTGTGATAGCGCCCGTAAAACAAATACCACAGTATAGTTACGACGTGAGCACAAGGATTGATGGTACGCGCACCGTTCTTACATGTGCAGTAACTTGCTTTAATGGCCTCGCTGGATTTTTTACTGGTGTCGATTAATATAAATATATGAAATTCTTTTTTTGATTTATGCCTCGATAGGATCCGCGATCGAAGAAAAAGAGGCGAATTTACGGAAATATCATATTTTTGAAAATCTGGCAAAAAGTTATCCTTCGTCACTTGAAAGCAATATTTTCCATTAGCAAAATGGTCTGCAATATAACTTGCTGCAAGTCCAATTTGATAACTTCCCGAGAGGGTGTCAAGATCTTCGCTCCTCCACTGTTCTAATTGTTTAAAATGATCTGTCGTCAGGTTTTCAAAAACTACTTTTTTTCGGAGCCATTTCTCGTCCTCAATATTTGTTGCACAATATTCGGCTTATTTAATTTTTGGAGCATTTGAATGGCAATTTTTGCGTCGTCACCATCACCTTGCAGGCGTTGAAAATATAAATTATGTGTCGCGGACACTATGCGATAGTCGTCAAACAAATTGCCGGATCCAGGTATATTGCTTCTCATTTTATAGAGCGTTTTCAATATAATTTTAATAATACTTGTACAACATAATAGCGTATATTGTGTGTATTTATCTGTACAAATGATCATTAAAGGTAGTCTTCCTCGGTTTGCGTCGCGTGGCATGACGGGAGGGGGGTGGGAGTGAACTATCGTACTCCGGAGCGCTGCCCCGCGGAAGCGGACCCCGCCGCGCCAACTTTGAAGAAGCATAACTCGGAGACAAATCGTTTCCCCAAGATGATCTTGGGCTCATTTTAACCGTCAGAGAGAGGGCTATAAGTTGAACAGTTTTTTGTTCATCTGCATGC